CAAAACGGTGTTTTCGTTTTGAACTTCATACCTGAGCGTACTACTGCTGACTCTGATAACATTCTCTCGCTTGGTCCTTGGGAGCATCGTGATGATATTGATTACACCGACGATACAGTTCCACGTGAGGGAGTTGTCCCGACGTCTTCAACCATGGCTGCCGCCGTCATGTTGACCTTTGACGATCAAGGCTTGAATGATGTTGAGAACTCTCGGGAGTACATGGCTGCAGTTGAAGGTTGGGGTGATCCGACGAACATGCCGACTGATGACGGCATCTTGGGGGCTGACGAACCTGATGAAACAACTTGGGGCGAGACACCTGCTGAACGCGATGCTCGTCTTCTCGCTGAAGCTGAACAACGCGTCGCTGAAATGGAGATTCTTGACTCGGGTCGTCTCGTTGGAGTTGAACCTGTACCTGCAGCATCCGATCAAGAAAGCGGCAAGTTAGTACTTGCTCCAGGCGAGTACGTGGATGTTGAGGTTCGTGTTCCACCACCAAATCTTACTCGTTACGTCGCACCTGCTTTCGATCAGATCCGCTCCGATGGTCATCAGCTTCTGTTGTCGTTCTTCGCTAACGCCGAGTACTATCTGCGCGCACAAGGTCACAAAGCCACGGGAGAAACATGGCATAAACGACTTGGTCATCCGTCGCAGTTTACGCTAAACAACACGATCAAGGCTGCAGTGCTTGACAAAAAATCGTTACTCTTACCGAGCGGTCTCGAACTGAAGCCGGTGAATCGCCCGGCACCCTGCACCATCTGCCCTGCGGCAAACCTACCGCACGAGCCGTTCCCGACTCATTTCCCTGGAGCTGACGATTATCAACTGATGGATAAGGTTTACAGCCATATACTTAACTTACATGAGGATGGTTTCAACAGCGAACGCTACGTTATCACATTTACAGACGCTTCTACTCGTTACGTTTGGACTGGAAACATGACTAACCGTTTTCTTGCGTTTACAGCTTTTCGCACCTGGCTTCCTCTCACCGAACGAGAGTCTGATACTAAGCTCAAGGCGTTTCAGTGTGACGGCGCCGGCGAGTATCGCAGTACTGAGTTCACGGCCTATCTGCAAGAACGCGGGATAAGACGACTTTTTTCGTTGCCTCACGCTCATCAGCAGATTGGCGTAGCAGAGAGGCTCAACAGGACTGTGCAAGAGAAGATGCGAGCCCTTCTTGCCCAGGCTCAACTCGGCCCACTCTACTGGCCTTTCGCCATGGACCATGCAACGCTGTTGCACAATCTTCTTTCGTCCTCGGCCCTGCCCAACAACGCATCACCCCATTTGCTGTGGACGGGCAAGTTGGGTACCACTAAATTACTTCGTGTTTTCAGGTGTGTTGTTCAGTACCGTCCTCCTACCGCTCCGCTCGGGAAGTTCGATCAGCGTGCTAAGTTGGGACTACATCTCGGCATTGAAAAACAATATTTTGCCTGGCGTATCATGGATTACCGCAACCGTCTTCTTGTTCCTGCTCGCGACTGTATTTTCTACGAGAATCTGACGCTGCCCGTCTTCGAACAGCATCTTGCCATGCAGCAAAACCCTGCCACGCTTTTCCACGGTGTTCGTTCGTTTGCTAACGCCGATGTCGAAATTGCTGCCAGCGAAGAACCTGACTCTGACGGTGCACGTGAAGCTGCTCCCGACCCACCTGTCCCCGTCACGTCATCTGGAATTCCGGAGTTTATTCCTCTTGCTGACGCGGCACCTGAGGATGTCCGCGAAGTTCATCATACTTACCTCGTGGATGAACAACGCCAACCAATGCCGGTGGTTTCCGATAGCAGCATCCGTGTCAACCCTGACGAAATTGGGGGGGCAAGTGGAGACCAGAATGATTCTGTCAGTTTCGCAGGTCGTCCCGACGATAATCCACATTATTAGACCGGACTGCAAATTCTGGGACTCGCAGCATCGGTACAGCACAGTTCTACAGTAAATTTGGAGCCGAAAACTGCCCGACATGCTCTCTCAGGGCCTCATCGCGAAAAATGGCGTGAAGCGATGGATCGCGAACTGGCTGCCCTGGAGAAAAGGGGAAGTTAGGATCTTATACCCATTGAAAAAACGGTAAACAAAAATGTTCTTACCGGTAAGTGGGTCTTCAGGGTGAAGACTAAAGCGGATGGTACTTACGAGAAACACAAGGCACGATGGGTGGTTCGTGGTTTTGATCAGACTCATGGGATCGACTACACACTTACCTTCGCTCCGGTCAGTCGACATACGAGTGTTCGAATTGTTCTTTGCGAAGCAGCCGCGAATAATTTTCCACTTCGACAAATTGATGTTTCCAACGCCTTTCTGTACGCTGACGTCGATGCCGAAATCTACGTCGAATATCCGCACACATATCCGACAAATCCGCCAAGTGTCTGCAAGCTCAAGAAAGCACTGTATGGCATCAAACAAGCACCGCGACTGTGGCAGCAGCATTTGAACAGGAAGCTGACGGAGGTTGGGTTTCGACAACTGCCGCACGATCCCGGGATGTACCGGCTAGACGACAAGGGGAGCTATGCGTTGTTAGTGGCTTACGTGGACGACATCCTCTACGTCAGCTCGTCTACTTCGCTGGGAGATCGTATCGAAGCCGATCTGAAGAAGTCACTTGACTTAACCATTTCCACCAAAGTAACTCAATTTCTGGGGTTAAACGTTTCGCGAACTTCTTCCGCTATTCATCTCACAGCTTCGAAGTATGCGGAGTCACTCGCTAAGCGTTTCAACATTTCCACGGATTTCGTTGCTACACCTTATCGGTCTACACTCACTGGGCACGTTCCCAATCTGAAAAAATTGTCAGCAGCTGGTCTTCAACTGTATCAGCAGCAGCTGGGATGTCTTCTTTTCGCAGCAGTCACTTGTCGCCCTGATCTTGCCTACGTCGCAAGTCACCTTGCGCAGTTTTTACGCTGCCCGAAAGAAGAACACTCTCTCGACTTACAGCGTGCGCTACGCTACTTCGTCTCTACACCAACACTCGGATTGATTTTCAATGCTGGGAAGCTGACCGACAAAATGTACCTCAGCGGGTACGTTGACGCAGACCACGCTGGCGACACGTCAGATCGACGGTCACGCACGGGTTATATTTTCCGTCTCAAGCCGATTGGTCCGATTTCCTGGAATTCCTCGAAACAGGAACTGGTGTCACTTTCATCGGCTGAAGCAGAATTCATCGCCGCTTGTGCTGCAACTCGCGAAGGTCTGTACCTGCAGGAGTTACTTGACGAAGCAAAATTCGTCACGCCGAATCAGTTCACGTTGCAGTGCGACAACCAGAGTGCAATTACCATCGCCAACAAGCCTGGTTTCGTCGATCGCACGAAGCATATTTCGCTGCGTTACTTCTTCGTAAAAGACGCGATCGACAAGGGGAGAATGTGCCTTGTCTACTGCCCCACCAGCGACATGGCCGCTGATTCGCTTACTAAGAAGCTGACACGTCAGAAATTTCATCACTGCAACCAGCTCAGTGGCATTTCCGAGTCAACAGGGTGACTACACCGAACTCCTAGAAGTGAAGGGGAGTGTTGAGATAATGTCGAGACTTATGCACTTCAAGGAATTCGTATAGTTAGTACAGTAAAAGTACCGATATACTGACGTCAGCAAAGCGCTACGCGCCTTAGGATGACGTCATCAGTAGCTGTAGGTATCGCGAATAGTCACGTACCTTTTCAGAACAGGAATAGCGCGAATAAATACAGCACAGTAGGCGAACAGGTACTTTAGTCTAGTTATATATTCTGTATGCTTGTCATTTTATAATATACTTGATTTCAGAGACCTTTGATCCTGTTACAAGTCACTCATATAAAAGACTTCCACTGCTACAGGAAGCTACTATCCTAAGACTACGATCCTATTCAAACAGTTCAGATTCTAACACATATCATACTTGGTAATGTGATTACCAAGTATTTTCTCCAAGTCTACATCCACGTCGCTTTCGGCTTTCCTTTACCCAACCTCCACCCAACATCGTGTTCCCGAGGTTCCTGCCTAGCTAGGTTGACCTGCTATATAATCCCGTGCCTTTCATTGGATCGTAAGTTCCTTTAATCACAAGCTTCGTTATTCGTTTTCCGCACAACTCTGTTTTACAACTCATAACATATACCTTTTTTTTAGGAACTTCTAGAGCAAAAGGGACATTCTAATATCATCGCGATAATCTAACAGCTCCAACTTTAGTGGAATAGCTTCAACTCAAGTCCTTGGCTCAGCCCACGTCACGTGTGGTCCACGTGGCATTTGAGGAGTGCACTTGTGCATGGTACATCACTAGGCCAAAACCTGCACCCGTGATTGGTACGAATCACACTCTCCATTGCCCACTGCCCACTGACTTCCGCGCTCTCCTTTCCTAATCAGCACGGACTGCATTTCTTGGGACCGCCCATTTAGCGAGTTCGCTATATTGAAGTCACCTCCCATGAGTTCCCTATGTTCTCGAATGTTGAGATCACCAATTTGCTGTGTAACGCCTGCGAAGTTTCAAGTGGTGAAGGGCATCCCGCAGCGCCTAAAGTCATATGATGCTGCGAGAATTTCGAGAAAACCGGCTAGCAATCAGCTACTACAAGCCTCGACGAGTGAGCGTTTCCTGCCACCACTGGCGGGCGCGAACTCTCCGCGTGCACGACTGCAGGAAAGTTAACAGTGCCCGTGGTGAATGACCTAGACTTGCTATGAGTGATGCGCGAGTGTCGCGGGAATCAAGCCGGGTTTCCTTCATGGCTTCTACTATATCGTCCCCAGCGAGACTCGGCGTTACTACTACCAGAGGCTTCGTAGGTCGAATATTGCGCTCGTTCGCGCTACTGGTCGTGCTCTCGTGCCTCATTAGAGTCTGTTACCATCAAATCATCGCACCGTCATCGCCCGACGCTCCTTACGTCTTCTACAGTACCGCCGCAGTCCGCCCTAGTCTCCCTCTCGAGAAACTGACCGACTCGTGCGTGACGGCAATGAGAAACTCCTACGCCCACTTCTCCCCGCCCAACGGTGACGGCCCCGCGCTGACTCCGCCGCAGGAGCTCGCCGCAGCGGCGGCGTGCAGAGCGGAGCTGCAGAATGCGCTGCAGCAATGGGCGGCGGAAGCGAGGTGGAGAGAGGCCGAGGTGGACTACCAGGCTGCGGTGCCGCCGGAGCTGCCGAGCCCGCGCGCTCAGCTCACACGGGAAGCTCTCAGCCCCGCTAGCCCCGCTTATAGCCGGCGCCATACCGCCGATAGCCCCAGCAGTACCACTAGTACCAGCGACAATGGCGGAACCAGTACCGTTGACGAAACCCTGAACGCTCCTGCTGAATCTGTCAGCCCTGGCAGTGCTACTGCTGCCGCTCCTGCTCCTGCTGCTGCCGCTGGTGTGGCTGTTGGTGCTGCTGCTGCCGCTCCTGCTCCTGCTGCTGCCGCTGGTGCGGCTGTTGGTGCTGCTGCTGCCGCTCCTGCTCCTGCTGCTGCCGCTGGTGCGGCTGTTGGTGCTGCTGCTGCCGCTCCTGCTCCTGCTGCTGCCGCTGGTGCGGCTGTTGGTGCTGCTGCTGCCGCTCCTGCTCCTGCTGCTGCCGCTGGTGCGGCTGTTGGTGCTGCTGCTGGTGCTGCTGCTCCTGCTGCTGCCGCTGGTGCGGCTGTTGGTGCTGCTGCTGCCGCTCCTGCTCCTGCTTCTGCCGCTGGTGCGACTGTTGGTGCTGCTGCTGGCGCTACGGTTGCTGCTGCTGCTGATGGGGGTGCTGCTGCTGGAGGTGGCGGGGATGCTGGCGCCGCCCCAGAAGACCCCGCCTTGCTGCTGTGCTCCGAGGGGTGGCAGCGGGCGGCGATGGCGCGAGCAGCAACGAGCGCGTACGTGGCGAGGGCGGTGAAGCGGAACGCGACGTCGCTGGCGCGGATAGAAGCCGGCGTGGATGCTGTGTGCCGCGGGGTGCGCGAGATAGAGGCCAGGCTGAGCGGCGAGTGCAGCGACAAGGGGAATGCGGGCGGCGAGGGCAGGAGGACGGCAGCAGAAGAAGCAGCTGGAGAAGCAGAAGCAGGGGCAGGGGCAATAGGAGAAGCAGGATCAGGGGCAGGGGCAGGAGCAGGAGCGGAGGCAGGAGCAAGAGCAGGGCAAGCAGGAGCAGGAGGGGAGGGAGCAGCAGCAGCAGAGTGCGGCACGTGGCCTGAGGCGTGCTGGCCGGTGCCTCACATGCCCTTCTCCGATGTCACGGTGCTCCCCTTTTCCTTCCCCATCCTCCTCCCTCTTTCCTCCCCTCCTCCTGCCCTCCTCCTCTATTTCTGCCTTCAGTCCACGAGGACACACAAGCTTCCCCACGTTGCCCACTCTCACAAGCAGCTCTGTGATCCTCCCTTCCCCTCCCCATTCACCTTTTCCATCCCACACGTCCTCCATTCCATCCTTCCCGGTGCGCCAGGGCGCAGAATTACGGCTGAGAATCCTTAATATCCCCCGCTCACCTGCCCACCTGCTGAGAAGTACTGCTCACCTGCCCCAGTTTCCACTTAGATCAGCAGCTCTCAGTTTTCCCTTTCGCCCCCCTTCCCCCCTTCCCCTCTTCTCCCCTCCCCTCTTCTCCCCTCCCACTCTCTCCAGTTCACCACCCCAGATCCACCAGGGCGCACGTTCACTAATGAGAAGTCTAATCCCTCCCTCGCCTGCCCCATTTCCCACTGCCTGCATTCCATCCCCCCCCCAGGCCACCAGCGGACGCAGGTTCCTCGTGTTCGCCTACTCCTTAGAGCAGCTCTCCAACACGCGCGCTCACCTCGTTGAGGCCGGCCGCTTCGCTCAAGCCACCAACCGCACGCTCGTGCTGCCCAAGGTGCCACTCCCTTGCTGCCCAAGGTGCCACTCCCTTGCTGCCCAAGGTGGCACTCCCTTGCTGCCCAAGGTGCCACTCCCTTGCTTCCCAAGGTGCCACTCCCTTGCTTTCCAAGCTGCCACTCCCTTGCTTCCCAAGCTGTCACTCCCTTGCTTCCCAAGGTGCCACTCCCTTGCTTCCCAAGCTGCCACTCCCTTGCTTTCCAAGCTACCACTCCCTTGCTTTCCAAGGTAACACCCCCTTGCTTCCCAAGTGCCATTCTGCACATTCCTCGTCACCCTCTTTGCTGTCTTCCACTTCTTCTGCTTATGTTTCCCGCCCTCTCTCCCACCCTCTCTCACCCCTCTCCCCAAATCATGCTCATGGCAGGGCAGTCGCAGCCGCCTCTCACTCTCCTGTGACCTGCCCCTCTGCGCCTGCTTCGATCTCTCTCGCCTCGACGCCCACTGGATCTCGCCCGAATTCTTCCTGCACCTCGCTAGAGCCGCTGTCAACCCCCCCTTTGCTAAAGCCAGCCCTTCCGTGGCCTTCGTGCACCTGCAGACCTCCCAAGTATGGCGGCTGACCTTCACTCAAGGCAAGTCACAGAAGCCGAACATGTTTCAACTTCCTTCTGCAGATGTAGCAAGTACTAAATGCCATCTCGAATTGTTTCCATTGACTTTGCAATTCGTAGTCATGCTCTTCTCACTCTCATTCATCGACCGTTTTATTCCATAGCTACCCATGATCTGACATTCAATCTGCCAAAAAAAAAAAAAAAAAAAACTTTATTGCACTTCCGTGTGCAGGGCCTCTGGCGAACATGCTGAGTGAGCTGATGGTGTATGGGATGGGCCATGCACCCTCAAGACGCAACACTGTTGATGTCACCACACCTGTCAACAGCAGTGCACTTTTCCAGCAGTTGCATAAGTGGTGCGTCATTTCATGCTCAGTGCCTTCTGTGTGTCCTCTTTCCGATATGAAGCATTATGAGTGCATGGCCCATCGAAGCATCCTAAAAGTCTGTCGTATTACAAAGGGGTTTATTTCTGTGTGTCTCATGGCATATCTGTTTCTATCATGGGTGGAAACTCATTGTCTGTCGGAAGCTAAATGTCTATGACTTAGAACTTCTTTCAGAGTCTCCTGTAAAGCAAGCCAAGCTGCAATTTTTTCCATACTGCACACCATCCCGCACTCCCCTGTCGGAAAACAATTTGTCTTCCCTTGTGCCCACTTCTGCATCGGCTGTGCGTTTCACGGCTGCATGACTGCAGGTGGCACAGGGACGTGCTGGTGTGGGTGAAGACCACATACGACCGAGTGGACTTCCACCTCCCCACAGACGACATCTCCTTCAAGATGCTTCCATACAGCCAGACATGGCACGCCATGGCACATCAAGCCATGGCCCGCCTGCCCCCCCAGTACATTGCGGTGCACTACCGCTCCGAGTTCATCGCCTTCCACCTCGTGAGTTCATCGCGTTCCACCTCGTGAGTTCATCGCGTTCCACCTCGTGAGTTCATCGCGTTCCACCTCGTGAGTTCATCGTGTTCCACCTCGTGAGTTCATCGCGTTCCACCTCGTGAGTTCATCGCGTTCCACCTCGTGAGTTCATCGCGTTCCACCTCGTGAGTTCATCGCCTTCCACCTCGTGAGTTCATCGCCTTCCACCTCGTGAGTTCATCGCCTTCCACCTCATGAGTTCATCGCCTTCCACCTCGTGAGTTCATCACCTTCCACCTCGTGAGTTCATCGCCTTCCACCTCGTGAGTTCATCGCCTTCCACCTTGTGAAAGGTTTTAACATGCCATTCGCTTTCGAGCAGACCCGAAGTGACTCGCGAGTCATCTAGGTTCGCATCTCGCTGCTGCCCTAATCCCACCTCGCCCACCCTGCAGGCGCACAAGCTAGTGTGGAGAGGCTTCAAGGTGGAGGCAGGTGTGCTGGAGGAGCTGATGACGGGGTGCATGGAGGCGGCCCGCGACCTCATCAACGGCATGAAGCGCCGCCACAACATCTCCGCCGTCTTCATCGCCGCCGACGTGCCGTTTGACGACAAGGCGGGCAGCGTGGTGCGGTCGGACTCGTGGAAAGACACCACGTGGATGTTCCAAGGGCAAAAGAGGGTGCTGGAGGCTCCGCGGGAGAAGCTGCGGTGGCTGAGGGAGCAGGTGGCGGGCACAGTGATGGTGGACGAGCTCATGCCTGCCGTCAACCACTATGACCCCGGTGAGTGCACACTTCCTCACTGGGTGGCTGCTAGGGTAGCTGGCTGCTTGGCTGGCTGCTTGAGTGGCTGCCTGGGCTGCAAGATCTGACTGCCTGAGATTTCCCTCACTGTGCAACTCTCCTTTTCCTTTCTACCAAGAGTTCCCTTCTCCTGTGTGCCATCCCAACCCTCACGCGCCTCCTCGTCCTCTTTTGCCATCTACTCTCTCGTCCACCCTCTATGCCGCCCGCCTTTTCTATGCTCTCCCATGCGCTCCCTTCTGTACATGCAGGCATTGTTGCCATATTGGACAAGCTGCTGTGCGTGCATGCCCACGTGTTCCTGGCTGGGTCCATCACATGTGGGGGAAGCCGCGGCTTTGAGCAGGACATTACGCAACACAGGAGTCAATTCAACAAGTCCCTCTCCCATAGATGGGTCTCACGGACAGACAAGCTTCTATGGCAGTCAAACGGCAGCTCTGCAGGTGTAGGGTAAAGACGCGGTAAAAGTAGAGGATCGATCGTCTGATGCGATCGATGTGCGGATTTGTTACCCTATCTACCAGCACGTTACCTTTTTCTGACAAATATTTGTGTGCCTTTCAAGACGGCGAGTTGGCCGTGAAAACAATTCGCGCAGCCGCGGCTGTGTAGCTGAGAAAATGAGCACAAACTGGACGGGCTAGGGTAGATTGGTCCACTTGCTTGCAAATGGCGCGAATTGTTTTCACGATGAGCTTTCACGATTCTAGCACAGGAACCTCAGTTCGCCATATTGGTTGCCCTGTGGATTGCAAGTTGCAACGGTCGCAATCTGAAAAATTAGGGCCTCCAACGAAGACACACTGATGCGATTCCAGCAAGGAACATCCTGCTCACCTAATTTTGCCGCTCGTTTGATCGATGGTCTGGTCATGCATAGTTTCGCTGATCGATTCCCTTGAGAGATTGTGCGAATCGATATTCAGGTGCGATCCTCTAAAATGCACACTTTAACCACGTCGCGTCATAAGGAGATCTGAGTACTTGCCTTTAACATAATGTTGAAACTAATACTATTGAGTACTGTATTGGGGCCATTTATGTATACACTAAACGACATCCTTCAAGGGATTGTACTGCCAATATGCAATAAGACATTGGGGCTATTTTATCAGTGTAAATTACCTCTTAGAAGCTAGGCATGAGTGGTGTCGACTATCGAGAAGGTTGGTACAAGGAAAAATGAACCTAAGGGGTTGTACCCCACAGTGTGTACCCCACTAAGCCTACCCAAAATATAACATGGATATACATATGTTTGACACACCCCCATAGGCAGAGTGGGGGAGAACAGAGGGTCACAAGACCAGTCAGGAAGTGCAAAGCAAGCTCAGGGTGGATCACAACGTCACCACGCAGTCTGAGCACAAGCAAGAAGGCCACAAGGCCAGTTCACATGCAGAGATATATATGTAACAACAACAGTACAGTGAAATCTACCTACAAGAACAAGCATGCAGAAATACATATAAATCATGGTACAAACAAAGCCTACAGCAAGTGAGGAAGAGTGGGCACAAGGCCTAACAAAGTGCAGAAACGCTGATGATCACCAGGCGGAAGTGCCTTGGTGAATATATCAGCAGTGTTGGCCCGAGTGGCCACGTAGGTAAGACGAAGCTGGCCACGCTGCTGCAGCTCTCGAGCAAGAAAGTAACGGAGAGCGATGTGCTTCGTTCTGTGCTCCAGTCTGTGCTCCTGACACAAGGCAATGGCGGCCTTGTTGTCGACGTACAGCACTGGAGGAGAACGAGGCCGCTCTCCCAAGTCAGTCAGCAAGTAGGTGAGCCAGCGAAGCTCCTGTGCAGCCATGGCTGTGGCGTAGATCTCAGCCTCACAACTGGAGCCAAGAACTGAAGACGAGCGTGTAGAACGCCAAGAAACTGAACCAGAGCCAAGGCTGAAGGTGTAACCCTGTGACGACCGCTGCGTAGCCTGGTCGTCAACCCAAGAAGCGTCCGAGTGACCAGTGAGGACAACGTCACCCCGTCCTCCAAGCACGAGCCCCATGCCCGATGTACTGCACAAGTAGCGTAGTACCCTCTTGGCAGCATCCATGTGCACCTTTCGGTGCCGACCAGGAGCCACGTAGCGAGCCAGAAGGCCAAGAGGGTACGCAAGGTCAGGTCGTGTGCAAGTCATCAGGTACATGAGGCAGCCCACTAACTCTGGGTAAGGACCACTCGAATCTACGCACTCGTCCGAAGGTGGAGCTGAGAGCGAGTGACCTGTAGCCAGAGGAGTGGCCTGTGCTGAGGACCAGGTGAAACCGAAGCGCTGAAGGACCTGCTGCACCATGTGTGACTGAGTCAGTGTGATGGTGCGGCGTGCTCTGTCCCGGGTGATCTGCAAGCCAAGGTAGCTGCGCAGTTCACCCAGGTCTGTGCACGTGTGTCTCTTCTGCAGCTCCGACTTCACCAGGGCGAGAGCCTCAGTGTCAGCAGTGGCAAAGACGAAGTCGTCGACGTACACGAGAACGTAGAACGGCGGCAGCGAAGTGTCAGTGCGCAAAAACAGCTACGGGTCAGCAGTCGACGGAGCAAACCCAAGAGCCGCAAGTGTCGTCCTCAGTGTGTCGTGCCACTCACGTGGCGCCTGGCAGAGACCGCAGACCGGCCGCCGGAGGCTCCACTGGGTACCAGAAGGGAACGACCCAGTGAAGCCAGGAGGGCGGCGCAGCCAAATCTCCTCGTGCAGGCTGCCCTGTAAGAAGGCTGTGCTGAAGTCAAGAGAGTGAAGCTCGTAGTCACGCTGAGCGGCAACGTGCAACAGCACCCGAAGAGTGGTCATCTTCGGGGTGGGGGAGAAGGTCTGGAAGAAGTCAACTCCCTCTCGCTGACTGAAGCCTCGAGCCACGTAACGAGCCTTGAAGACAGGCGGAGAACCTGGCGGCCGCTTCACCCTGAAAATCCACATGCCACTGACAATGTTCGCCCCAGGAGGGGGAACCTCGTCGACGTAGGTGCCTGTGGACTTCCAGGATGCCATCTCTGCGTCCATGGCTGTCTGCCACTGAGAGGAGTACTCACCCGCGATCGCCTCAGCGTAAGAGCGCGGGGTAGGGATGTCTGGTGCATCCGGGTCTCCCTCAGGGGCAAGCAGCATGGATACGAGATGAGGCGCAGCAGCTGCAAGACACTCAAGGTCCTCCTGCCTGTCCTCAAGGACGTCCGTGCCAAGAGCACACTCACCCCCGACGGACGGAGGACAGACAGACGTAGACTCAGCAACAAGACTGGCGGCGTAGTCTAGACGACAGTGAGCAGCAAAGGCAACAAGCTCAGTGACTAAGGCAGACGCAGCAGCAGACTCAAACGACGGGTCAGTGACAACAGTGGCAAGCAGACGCGTGACAATAGAGTGCTCAGCACGAAACTGGTCAGACGCAGGGTCAGCAACGACAGGCAGAGAGGACGCAAGGGGAGGCGGCAGAGGAACACGCGGGGAAGGAGAGGAAGGACGACGAACTACAAGGGGAGGGCCGGAGACAGCCGACTGGCACTGACGAGGAACACGACGAGCGGAACTGACACGGGAGACAGGCCGCGACACATGCTCACGATGCTTTGCAAGGCCACCAGGCTGCTCTGTGTACGGAGAAGGAGCAGGCAGCGTTTAGCCAGGCTGTAACGGAAGACCAGTAGACGAGGGAAGACTGAGAACCTGGCGAAGTGCAGAGTCAGGTGGTGGCTGAGACGACGGAGACGGCGGAGCAAAGAACAGGCGCGGCTGAGCAGTGCCACCAGCAGCTCCAGCAGCTCCAGCAGCTCCAGCACCCCCAGCAGCTCCAGCACCTCCAGCGGCTCCAGCACCTCCAGCAGCTCCAGCACCTTCCGCAGGCTCCACACGCTCAGCGCCCCCAAACTCAGCACCCCCAAGCTCTGCACCCCCAGGGACAGCACCACTCCCAGCAGGACCGGAGTCACCAGTGACCTCAACAGGCGCAGGCGCGGGGGGGTCTACCTGAGAGACACCTGAAGGAGCAGGACCTGGCGCGGGGAGGGGGTCTACCTGGGGAGGACCTGGTGCGAGAAAGAGCGGCGGGGGGGGGGCGAGGAGCAGTGCGGTAGGGGAAGAGGCGGTAAAAGGGGACCGACTCGTCAAAGGTGACGTCCTGAGACGCAAAGACACGTCGCGAGGCAGGGTCGTAAAACTGCCAGCCAGGCGCGTCAGAGACAAAGCCAAGGAAGACGCAAGGAATGGCGCGAGGGGAGAGCTTGTCCGCGGTGGTATCGCGGACAAAGGCACGAGCACCCCAGACCCGGAAACGCGACGCGTCGCCAACCTTCCCCGTCCACAGCAGTGTGGGCGAGGTCTCCGGCAAGGAGACACGGGGCCAAAGGTTGAGCTGATGCGCGGCGTACCGGACCGCAAACGGCCACAGAAAATGGGGGGCAGCCGCATGGATCATGGAGGTACGAGCGACCTCCATGACTAAGCCAATGCGGCGCTCAGCAACCCCATTTTGCTGCGGAGAGGCCGGAAGCGTGAAAGTCTGGCGGATGCCGTGCTCCGCACAGAAGGCTGCCAAGAGGTCTGAGGAGAACTCACCACCTCTGTCAGAGTGCAGACGCAGGACAGGAAAGTCCGACTGGAATCGCTCGCGGAGCTGGAGACGAGTAGCGCGGATCCAGGGGATAAAAACATCAGGGACATCCGCCTTGCGCTGCAAGGGGAAGACCGTGGTGTAGCGCGTGTAGTCGTCGACAACCAGCAGGAAGTACCGCTCGTGGCCCTGTCCACGGACGCGGGCTGGGCCCCACACGTCCAGGTGGAGAGTCTGCAGTGGAGCCTCTGTGGGAGGGAACGAGGAGGAGTGAGGAGCGGCGCGCTGCCGCCCCTCGACGCAGGGAATGCAGGGCGGCGCAGGCGAGGGAGGGAGGGGAGGCAGAGACCTGGGAAGACCAGAAACCAGGAAGCGGGAGTGCATGCTGCGTAGGCGAGGCAGGGAGGGGTGACCAAGGCGGTGGTGCCACAGGAGAGTGTTGTGCGACAGCCGGCAACACTCACACTGTGTAGCTACCTGAGCAGACGCGTGCAACTGGGGAGACAAAGGGGTGGAGCGTGACGCAGTGGTGAGGGTGTAGAGACTGGACCCTGGCGCACGAGCAAACGTGGCCAGGTGGCGACCAGTCTGGGAGCACGTGCAAATCGCCACACGCTGCCGGCCAGGGGTGAAGGTGTCAACCCCCGCATCCTGGAGGACAGCGTTACTCACCAAGTTCGTAGAGAACGAGGGGAGGTGGAGACCAGACAGCTCACCAGACGGGACCGCCGGACACGGAAGCACAGTGGAAGACCGTGCAAGCACTGGGCCCCCAGAGGGGTCAGCCAGTGAGACAGGATTAGATGCAGGGAGGGGAGTGACTGTGGTACTGTCGCGAAAGAAACAGCGGGAAGCACTAGAGTCAAGTGTAAAGGTGTGCAAAGCCTGTGCAGGCGCAGTACCAAGGG